CATTCTTTGCTATTCCAGTTCGGTTTTATGATTATAATATGGCTATTAGATTTGGGGAAAGGGTCTGTTTTTATGTTTTGTTCCTTTGGTAAAAATCAATCTTCTGCCACTTTGGATTAAAGTATTTTTTTCAGCCAAACTTGCTCACTTAGTGAAGCAAGAGCTTTTATTACACATCAAAAGGAACCATTGCGAACAAGTGAAACTCCTTTCATTCCACTGACCACAATTTAGGGGCTTATGCTGTTTGAAAAGGCCTAAGTATATGCTTTCTTTATCTGCGTGTAATGTTGAACCACAATAAAATAGCAGTTGATGTATTCAGTTAAACATAATTATGTATTATATCACTTTAAGAATTGCCAGAGCTTGAAGTCCAAGATTTTCAAAGGATATTTATCTAGTCCCTGCTAATTATTGGGGACACTATACTAAATACCTTTATGCGTTAACAGGTCAATCTAGTTGCCTAATATTACATAGCTAATTTTAGCGGCACAGTCAGGAATAGAACATAGATCTTTGGCACTTTATTCTAGTGTGTTTTAAATTTCATCACCCATTTCCTTGATTCTTCTAAAGTAGTCCAGAAATTTTCTTCCAATCTTAGTCTTAATCTCTGTATTTTACAAAAGAAAAACAAAAAAGATGCAAGGACAATTGGAAGAATATCCTTCCTGAAAATGGTATGCATTGTGGTGCTTTGTTGTTTTCCCTTAAACAAACTTTAGGTGGCTCTAGAATTGCTTCTGGAAGCAAACCATTTTTATGCACGGGATCACCGAGCAGATTTTATAGAACAATATGTTCACGTTGGAGCCTTTTCAAAGTAAAATCATGGAACATGTATTCTAGTTTCTGATATGGCTAATGATTGCNAGAAAGAAAGAAAGAAAGAAAGAAAGAAAGAAAGAAAGAAAGAAAGAAAGAAAGAAAGAAAGAAAGAAAAAGAAAAGAGTTGCCCTGAATGTGTCATTACTTTCGTGTTGCATTAATGCAAGTCCATGAGAGATTTGCTTGGCCTATAGAAGGGTAACGTCTAGGTTTGGGGTATGATTTGATATAAAAAATTAGGTGGAGTAAACAATTTTCCATTCAGAAAACAGTTGTCTGACACTGTATTTTCTACAGAATGTAAAACTCATGTCTTTTTCACTTTGAGTTTAAAATGAAGATTTAGGAAGGAATTTTACTGAGGACCACTTCAATAAGTACATCAGGTTAGGTGATAATAGCACATGGCATTCTTATATTTTAGGTTTGGCCAGAAGCCACATACAGCAAATTTCTGAAGTATGCATCATTTACAATTGTGTGTGTGTTTCTTGAATTTTTATAGCCAGCACCTATATATTATGTTTATATACACCTATATTTCTAGGGACACAAACAGTAGGCATTTTTATACACAAGTTTGAAATAACCCTCACTCTTAACTGAAAGTTGGCTGCGAATTATCGCGAAGGTCAAGTTGTAATTTTGTACTATGTAGGTATTAGCTTTCTTCCTCCCACAAGTACTCCGCAGCATTTGTTTTATTGTCCTAAGAACATTTGCAGCATCAAGCAAGGAATGCATTGCGGCTTTGTTTTTGTCTTTTTTTGCTATGGAAGGAAACATATCCTGATATTCATTTCCTGCCTGGATAGGTATAAGCTACCTAAATGTACTTGACTTTAAGTTCATTGTCAAAAGAAGCAGCGTGCCAAAAATCTGAAAACCAAAGAAATATATCTGCAATTAAACAACTTTAAATGACTCAGAAGACAGGCGCTGCATCTGCCTAAAAAATAACCCATACTGGCTGCACTTAAAAGCAACTAAAATGCACATTCATAGATAATTATAAACAACAACTAGTTAACACTTTAAATAAAAGGGAAAATAGCAAAAAGATTTAGAGCCTAGACAAGTAGATGAAAGGGTTCTAAGTTGCCTTCCATCTGATATTACTCAAATGCAACTCTGTCTCCAATTACCTGGGAATATGTGGTATTCCCTCATGAAAGCTCAAGATCAGAAAGGGCGTCCATTTCATGCCTCTGCTTACGCACAGTCGTTTGGAACAAGTTCAGCAGAAATATTTACCATTGCAAAAGCATCCGGAGCCAGACAAGCTACTGCAGACACTCATCACTGGGTCAAAATAGTCACTTAGTGGGACAACCACCACCCGAAAATACTTGTGAAAGCAGAGAATTGGGGGAGAAAGTATTCATGCTTTTGGAGAAGACACACTGAATGCCAATGTGTTGAAGCAGAAGCATGAAAACATTATTTTTAACCAGTTGCATATTTAGGGGCATGGAACCATCCACACCTGTGATCTCTGGGAGAATTGGACCTCAAAGGTGATCTTATGCCTTAACCCTAAAATAAATTAGTAAATAAATAAATAAAGGCTGCCTCCTAAAAGGTTCAGTGTTTCTTTTATTGTATGGTTTCAACCATAGGCTTCCTCTGCCTCCAATTTTGGATCTCTAGCTCCTGAGATTTGGGGGCAAATGGGAAACCTCACTACAACAATTGCACTATTCGAAGACCCAGTTTGCCCTTGAGGTGCAGCAATTGATTGATCAGCTTCTTCAACGTTCATTATTTCTTCAGTGTTAGATGTTACTTCTGTTAAAGTGAGATACTGATACTTTCTGAAGATGGTCGGTGCAGTCCTTTTTTTTTAACCTTGCCTTCTGTCTTAAAACTGCATTCCCCTTTCCTTCCCTCTGGTAGCAGTAGAGAATTGATTGCTTTATCTCACCATCTTGATTGTCTCTTGTCTCTGTTCCAAACTGTTTTTAGTATATTCAAGCTCAGAACATTTTCTTGGTAGTGATTCTCAAAATCAAGATATGAATAATTACCCATAGTATGTATGGAATTAAAAAGATAGGCTTTAAAGGGACATTGCAAACTTTTCAAAAATTATTTTATCTTTTGGATTTCGGTAGTTTCTCCCTAAATTTACAAAAAACACTGTTGCCTCCCTTATAGCAGTTTCATTTACTGCTGTGTCTCGGGGAAACAAAAAATGATCTAAGAAACTGTTCACCTCTGCATATGCTACTAGAAGCATTGAGAATTCTTCATTATAGCCGTATGAAAACAACAGCATACACACATTAAGTAGAATAAAAAAGAAAAGGTGTTAAATATATTTTAGAATTATTCATTGATTTTTGTAAAGGTCTTTGAGTGTAATATGGTATTTCCTGGCCCATAATTTCTTTATATTGTTGAGGAGGCACCCTTGTTTTCGCCATACCTAAGCCTCATTCTGAATCCAGAATCTATCTGTAATAGAATTAAGAAGATAATTAATACTCCTACAATTGAAAAACTTTTTGCATTTTGAAAGCAACGTATACCAGTTCTGTTTTTTATATTAATTGTAATGTGAAGAGGAGTGAAAAGACAGGAAGATTATCCGCACGCATCAATCGGTTTACACAGGAATATCAGAGATACTGCAGGTTGGGTTCCAGGCCGCTGTGGTAAAGTAAATAAGGAAGTAAAGCGAGCCCCCTTTTTTTTGGTTTCCCAATGCACATGAAAGGTATGTTTACGCTATACTATAGTCTATTAAGTGTGAGATATAGCATTATGTCTTAAAAAAAACAATGTGTATACCTTAATTAAAAAAACACTTTATTGATT